AAAAGCTTTGTCACGTAGGAAAGAAAATGACATCTAGATTTTAATAGTTTGGGGATTATTTAACTCTAAGACTTTGGGTTCGTAATGTCGGAAAAGGGAGTTCCATATTTTTTATTACAATTTTGTTTAATTATAATTGATGATCACGGTGTTTTAGACTCTCGGGTTATGTGTTAGGCCTCTAAAGCGGGTCGGATAGTGAGCTCGATATTTGGGTCCAGTGTTGGGCTTATGGTTTGGGCCTACAAGAATGGACTCCATATAGGTGTTTAGGTGTCACTTTAATTGAAACCACGTGTAAATGCATTTTGTTAAGTGCTAAATTAGTGGAAAGGAATAAATAATTAGAAAATAATTTATGAGAAAATATTATCAACGATGAAATAATTATTCCCACTTATGTTCTCTCTCCATTTTCACATAAACTAACTCCAATAACAAGGGATCATATATTTCCAAGTGTCCCAAAATATGTAGTGGCGTTTTCCAAGTTACATCAATTCATCTAATGGAATACTTACGAGGAATAACGGCATTACTTAATATTAACTTAAGGGATAAACCTAGATGTATCAAATGTTTTACAAAATGTTTTACCAACTCGACACTTGGCGCCCCATCATTGGAGGGGCGTCTGTCAATGATGGGGCACCTGTAATGACAGGCGCCCCTCCAATGATGGGGCCCCAAGTGTCGAGTTGGTAAAACATTTTATAAGTGTAGCATGGTCCTAACTTAAGTTTCATGTAGTTGAAAAACGCCGCGACTTGCTTCAAGAACATCTTGCTTACGAGAGTGATGTGATCTTATTGTAATTCGTTAGAAGAGAAAATAAAAATCAAAGTTAACGTGACATGATATACTTCTAATTATATATATATTTTTTTCGATTTTCAATGAGCATAAATTGTCTCATACTTTCTTACACATTTTGTTCTCAAGTTTATTTTATTAGTTAATTTTATTGACAATATTAAATAAAATATCTTTAGGTTAGATCAGATCAGTAACTGAGAAGAAGTGATAAATTAAGGGAAAAAAGAGGAAAAGAAAAATGAATTTAAAAAAAAATAAGAGGGGAAAATGACTTATTTTTTCTTAATTGTTTTTTTAAATTATTTTTCCCCTTCTTCCTAAGCATTATGTGAGCCAAATAATCAAGCATGGTAAATGTTGATAAAATAATATGCATATGAATTTCATTTTATAGATCGCATTAATTTACGTAAATGGGGTTCCAGAAAAATTTATTTTGATCAAGATATGTCAAGTTATTGTGGTTGAAATAAAACTCATGTTATCATTTAATATTATATCATTTTTTTTT